TTTTTTCGCTTCTTCACTGCAAGGAGCCTAACCCTCTCGGCAACCATTTTACCACAAGGACGAAAGCTGCGTATTATCGTCGATGGCAAACTAATTCCAACGGTGAATAACCGGAAAATTGTCAAATCTAGCTCTCGTTCCCGGCGCATACAACCGAAATTGCCAACAAAGTACAGAGCCGTAGTCCTCAATTCGGCAGTACTTGGCCAAAGACAAAGAAACCGTGTTGCAAACATACAAAGCCGTCCGGTTCTAAATTATGCAGCGCCTGTGTGTTCGCCGGGGACAATTGGTTCGCAGTGGACGAAACTAAAGACATTCCACAATACAACACCCTGGACAACCAGAGGATGTCTTCTGATGTCGCCAGAACATCACATCCACAGTGAAGCCGAAATTCTCCCAGTAAGGTGCTACAGTTGTCAGCACTCGAACTTGCTTGAGCTGAAGGACCAGGTCCAGCACTACGCACAGCACCCCTGGGACTGGGACTGTACAGACAGGTTATTAACGGTATTTGTAAACTCCAGTCAAGTGAATGCCATCATCAGTGCCAATCACCACCTGTGAACGAGAATGAGCTTCAACTGCCACGAGATACCAGCGTAACTCTGGCCCAACTCGCCTCCCAACATCGAAAATGAGTGTCCAGCATGTGGAGATTCCCCCCTTGACACCAACCACCTCTTCACATGCGCACTCAATCCAACTCAACTAACATCCCCCCCCTCCCGCTGGTTCTACCTCATTGAAATATCAAATCTCCTGGGCCTACCGTTAGTTGAGCCTGCGGACAATTAGTAATTAGTAAGAAGTAAGATTAGTAAGATATATATTAAAGGGCTTTGCTCTTACGTGGTTTGGTTCTTTGAAAAGCGCTGCCAGATGTTAGAAAATGAAATGCAAATAATCGAGTTCGGAGATGTTTTCGTGAAATACTTAACCCACCGTCACCACATCTGCATCGAGAATTGAAGAGATTGGTGTGTAGAAGTGCAGTACGGTTTTATTTTTCAGAAAAGGGTTGCCACATAATAGAAATTAAACTCAAAATATTAAGATTATTAAAAAAGTTATAAGTATAATATGGGTATCAATCCAAATGGTTGATTATTTTATTTTTTTAACTATACGTAAGGGGTTTGCCACCTTATTAAAAAGTGAAATTCAAATAATTAATGTGAAGCTTCTTAATCGGAAATATGTAATTGCGTTAAAAATATAACGCCACTGGAGACGGGGAAAGGCACAGGTACACAGAATCAAAGATAATGATAGACCGAGATAGGCATAACGATAAAGACAAGGACGAACTTACCCTTACGTTTGACATCCATCTATCTTTTATATATCTATATCTTATAACTTGTGCATATTTAAATTAAATTAGACTTTTCAAATAGTTGGCTACCCACATCAAAATATTATTTTCAAACTAAAAGCTGCCAGCTCTTTCTTCTGATGCCGATTGTGATACATATCTAAATTACCTAATTCCCTTAATTCAAGCTCAGTTTGACTTTTTAAACAGATGGCGACCCTACTTTATGTAGTTTAGATATGAAGCATTTCAAAACTCTTTCGATAGATATCCATATTGTAATAAATCAATAAAGTTATTAAATAATTAAATAGTTGGCAACCCTCATCAAAAAATGTTCAAAGTCAAACTTTCTGAAACCTATTTTGACGCCTTCGTGTACATATTTTCAGACTACAACCAACCTCGCCTGACACCATGGTACAATAATTACAGGTATTGTCTTCCCAGAGAGCGCATATTCCGATCTGCCTTATTTAAAAAATATCATTGTTGCCATCTTGCAGAAAACTTATTTAATTTGCAAAAGCCGGAAAAAAACATTTGCTTGTAAATAAATTCAAAATTTGTTTCTTCTTGTTCTTGTTTCAAAAGTTTTTTCTTTTGTTTTGAAAAATTATTTAAATTAAATTGCAAAAACAAAAAGCAAAGCCAAATAAAAGTAAAAGAATCAACATTGAACTGCGTCAAAATGAAAATAAGGGAGCACGAATTTCGATGTGAAGCAAAACCCTCTGGGAATACAATACCTTTAATAATTGTACCATGGCCTGACACCCATAATGTGATACGTATTCCAGTTACCTAATTCCCATGTTCACGTTCAATTGAATTTTTTAAACAGGTGTCAACCCGCCTACATGTGGCTTAGAAATAAATCCTTTTCAATACCATTTCGATTGATAAACATATTGAAGTAATTAATTTAACTTAATTGCATTAACTTTTTTAATAGGTGTTTACCGGATAGCAAACTAACATAATTTAAACCTTCTCCAAATATCTATGTCTTATGTCAAAATTTCGTCAAAATCGGTCCAGAGGCTTTTGAGTAAATGTGTTACACCACTTTTGCAACTTTACTTTATATAAATACGTACATATAAAATTTACTCACTTCTCTTTGAAAATCTTTAAAGCTACAAATAATGTTGTATGGGCGGTCAAGGTGGGCGTACCCGATGTTCAAGAATTTGGTCATCTTATGTATGTCATGACGATTGACTTCGCCAAATTTTAACTTCGAAGCAGCAGTAGTTCATTTATGCCAGAAAAACGGAATTAGGACACGTATGTATTGGTGAAAGGCGTAAAACTTAAATGCAAAATTTAATATAAATTAAAATTTTAATTAAATTGCAACTAAAAAGTCTCGTGAAGTCGGTTTTAAGTGTACCAATTCTATTAAGAAAAAACGTGGGACGTAAATCATATTCGTTTTGAAATAAACGAGAGTCGAAAAAAATAAAAGGCCCATATAATTGTGATGAGACAACGTAAATCATGTTCGTCTTGAAATAAACGTCCCGAGACACGAAAAAAATAAAAATCCCATATAAATATTATGAGAAGACGTAAATAATATTCGTCCTGAAATAATCGTCCCGTGAGACGAAAAAAGATATTTCTCGTAAATAATTATTATACAAAGACGAAAAAAATTTATCTTAAGACAAGGCGACGATTTTTATCGTAAATAATAGAATAATTACTTTCGGTCTCTGGTTTTAACATATGACACAATAAATAGGCTAGAGCATTCGCAAGCATGGTACATTATACTGAAGTCAACCTTTCAAATTTATGCCCCAACGTTTATCTTGGGCCGCTGACTGACATTTAATTGTCTAATTTAGTTTAAATCAGCGTTTAAACTAACTTTAAACCACAGCCGTGCACTAAAAAACTGGCCATTAGTGTTTATTTATTACATCAGCCCGTCTACACACTGTTATCACTCATGCCAAAGATCTAAATTAATTAAAATAATTAAATCACATCCCAACGGCAAGACTTGATCGGTTCGATGGCACTTTCAACTAAAATTAAAATAGTTGCAATTTGAATTTAAATTCCGATTGGCGAATTTGAAGTTTCCGAAGAAGGATTCTAAAAAGTAGCAAAAAGAACTTTCTTCTTGTGCAAAGTAGAATTCACTGCCTTGAAATGAGTTTAAAACGCAAATATAGTTTTTGGTAAAAATGCAGTTATTGTCGTTCGAGTACATATGAATGTATGCAAATCCTATAAATATATACAATTGGTAGTAACTAAGAATTTTAGTTAATTTAAAGATTTAAACAACATTTATTTTAATAAATTTGAGTATGATGTGTATAGATAACATGATCCATTTTTTCTTTTGATGAAAATAAAGTTATTTAAATTGCTTAAGTTGTACATCTTTTTACTTTGTAATTTGGATTTTCTTCACGCTAATTTCAACGCATAATAAAATGCGAATAGGTGTACTCGTAACAATGATTCAACATCCACTGATTAGCTACATATGTATGTATGAAGGTAAGCTAAGCAAAAACACTAACATAATCCATATTTGTATAATAAGTATAACCTGAATCGGATGCCATAGGCCTTTTTTCTAAAAGGGCAGTTGTGCTTTTCAACAGAAACTTTCATCTGTTTACTGTCTAGCATTGACGATTTGCACGAACTCAGGTTTCAGGGATGCACCGCCCACAAGAAAACCATCGATGTCAGGCTGTTTGGCTAAATCTTTTGCGTTGGCACCAGTCACTGAACCCCCATATTCGATCCGTAGTGTGTTTGACACTTCCTTTGAGATATTTTCAGCCAACCATTGACGCAAATAGGCATGCACTTCTTGCGCCTAAAGTGTAAGAAAAAAGTAAATGTGTTATACAATCAGATTATGCATTACATTGACATTGCAACTTACTTGTTCTGGCGTGGCAGTTTTGCCAGTGCCAATAGCCCATACTGGCTCATATGCAATAACGACATTACTCCAATCTTTAACCTTCTGAGCTATTGCACTCATTTGTCTAGCAACTACTTCTTGCGTTTTTCCGGATTCGCGTTCTTCCAGTGTCTCGCCAATGCATGCAACTACTTTCAAGCCAGAGGCCAACGCATGTTCCACTTTCTCAGCAATGAGCTCATCGCTTTCCTTAAAGATTTGACGACGTTCCGAATGGCCCAAAATAACCCAGCCGGCACCAGTGTCTTTGATAATCGCTGGAGAGATTTCACCGGTGAAGGCACCTTTCTCCACTTTGTAACAATTTTGTGCAGCTACATTGATGGAAGAGGGCAGCAAGCTGCGCACGTATATGAGATAAGGGGCTGGTACACCTACATAAACCTCAGTATTGGGATCCAAAGGTCCTTCAGTCAGTATTTTGCACAATTCGGCAATGGATTGTTGGTTGCCGTTCATCTTCCAATTACCACCCACACAAAATTTACGAGACATCTCGTTTTTGTTACTCTTATCGCAGCTACTGAATGAACGGGATATCTGCAAAGCAATTAACTAAAGTTGTAAATTAATAAAAAGGTTTCTAAGCCGGTAATTGGAGCAACTAAATTTTACCCACTTTGCTAGAAGAAGTGCGAAGAAATAACCTTGCAATGACCCTTTCGGCTACTGTCATCACCATTTCCTTTTACGCTGTACTTCGTCTTAAAACGAAAAAAGTCCCCAACCGATTTGTGTTAGTACGGTCCCAAACCGATTTTTTAATGCAACTCTGTCAGTAATTGCCGATGAGAAATCACGGATGTCACTGCTGACGCTTGTTTAGGTACAAAGAAATGATTAAAAAATTATCAAATCAAATCAAAGATCCAAAACGGCAATTTTTCATCTGAAAAGTCGAATAGATTGAGTTTTGTTTGAGAACTTACAGAACGACAAGGTGCCAGATAGGTTTGCCACTGACGAAAAAAATACCATTTACCATTCACTTGGGAAAAATCTACAAAATCTGGAAAATATCTATCAATAACTTTTTTTAGTCATTTAAATCATGATACAAAAAAGAAGGTAGTTTCAATAAACAACTTTTTGATTAAAAAGCAGATTTTTGACAATTGCTCAATTGTAAAAAAATCGAAGCGGCGTTACCCAATTGTAGGTTTTTTGGTGTGGGAGATTTTATATCCTAAATTTGGGATTATAAGGAAATAGTTGTATTAATATATACCTTTTAAAAATAATCAATATCTTGTCTTAAAAACGTTTAAATTTTACATTAAATTCGATAACAACTTGCCAAATCATTATTTTAATATTAATACAATTTTAGTGAACATATCTTAAAATTTTTTTAGTGTCCTCATGTCATCTCATTATGTCACAATGTAGTTTTATATATCGGATACGATGATTCTGATGTAATTCAGACACTGAAATTACACATTTCGATGTGTTATTTAATACATATTGTCTTTGTCCATTTAACAGCAAAAGGAATTTGCTTTAGGACCCATGGGCCGTAAAATTTTTCGAGCAACACATATTGTTTTCACATGAAATTTTTACACACCCAAAATTGAAGTATAAAATAAATAGATACAAATAAATTTTCAATCAAACTGATTTGTGTAGTTCAGGGGCGTCTTTAGTAAATGTTTGGAGGCTGTTTTAATATATCCTATCTTATTATATATTTCTTAGCTTTCTACATTCTGAGAAGTTGAGAGAATGAAGTCTAATATTCTTTTTGGGTCAACTATGATGTTTTATTTAATTTTTTGCAATCATTAGTTAATTTCGCTTGAGGAGTCGCAATGCTCATACCGGCTGTACCGATTTTTTGGAAATTTCGGACACAAATTTTCCAAGAATGGTTATAGGCTAAAACAAACCTAGATATCGGGTGTGAAGGGCGTGTGGAACCTCCCATACAAATCGAATTTTTCATAGTGCATATCTCTGGAATTATTTGTGGTAGAGTCCTGGAACTTTGTATGGATATATGTATGGATTTATTGGAAAATGCGGCGTGCCACCGTAGAACTTGGAATAGAATATGAAAACGATCTCGAAGCCATTGAAAGCTAGCGGTATAGACCAAATAAACTAAAATTCTTGTGACGCATAGATACCTCTGGAAGCATTTATTTTTCCAACGGAAATATGTACAGGAAAACGGGCGCGACATCTTCTGGAAAGTAACATGATCACAGGGAGTATCCCGAGAACCATTTTAAGCTAAACCTTCAGGGATTACATTCTCGCCAAGACCCATAGGCATAAGCTGAAATTGCGTCGCAAGTTTTATGATCGGCTTAGGTAAGGTTTAACCACTTAACCCCCCTTTGTTTTCGTCGCTACTGAATTCTATAAACTGTCAGCTTTCACACAATTTAAAATGTATATGTAAGAACAAAATATTTTTAAATCGACAAAAAATTAATAAGAAAATTTGAAGGATTTTAGATATTGGGTATGGTAGCACGAAATGTCACAATCTGCTTAATTGTCAGGTTGTTAATATGGCGACGAAAAAGTGACAATGGAACTACAGTGCTATCTGGGTCGAGTGAACTAATTAATGCAAGACCAGTTCATAGAAAACAGATTGTTCACTATATCCAGATGGAGTTTTTTGCTCTTTAAAATCAATTTTATTGCGCAGTGTGTCTGTTAAAGTTAAATTTTTAAGAACTCTGAAGTGTCGTCTTTTCCCAAAGCTAATGCCAACACATGTTTCCTATTGTTATTGTATCGTCGTCGTCAAGCTCTATAGCGGTAGACCCAGGAAGCGCGAAGCCTCGATGGGGTCTGTCCATAAGGCCAGACACATTAGCAGGGTGGGGTTCACTGGGCATGCGAAGAGATGCTGCGAGTCATGGAGCGTCTCTCCGAATGACGGGAATTCATTTGGCACATCTGCATTTATTCTGTTCAGGTATGAGTTCAACCTGCTGCAGTAGCCCGATCGAAGTTGGGCTATGTGGTCCGAGCCTCCCGAGGCAGACGAAGCTCTGTCTCGTCCACGTCAGGTGGTTGCGTGCCCATAACGGCATTCACAGGTCGAGAGATAATATAACTCGGGACTGGCTCTCTTTGAATTTCGTTCGAGGCCTGTCGGTATGTTGTTCGGTTCAGAGAAAGTTTTATGAATCCCGGACTTCGCCCGTCAGTTCATATAGATGCCTTCTGACGTGCCGTGGCGAGGGTTCTTCCGCAATAAGATGTCTGTTTGGGTGCTAACACGATAACACCCTACTAGGAATTGCTTGCAGAGCATTGTGTTATGCTCCTTAATCGGGAGCATATGTGCCTCGTCGCGCAGGTGATGTTGCGGCGACATCAGAAGGAATCCTGTCGCTGTCTGATTGCCGTGTTTCGGCAGGTCTGCAGCTTCATCCAATGCGTCCTACTAGTCCCCGGTACCCATACAGGCGCTGCATAGTTCAGAATCGGCCGGCCAATTGCCTTGTTGCCAACAACATTTCTTTGTTTGCCGCAGGTGCTGCCGGCTAGCGAGTTGAGGACTTTGTTGGGGCTTTGTACTTTATTGACAATTGCGGTTGTATACGCCGAGAAGGAGAGCAGACCTTCGAAGGTTACTCTGAGGACCTTCGGGTTATTCAACGTCGGAATTGGTTCGTCATCGACGAGAATACCCAGTTGCAGTCTGACCTCCTTCGTCCAAGTGGTGAAAAGCGTTGCTGAGGATTTTGTAGGGGAGAGGTTTAGGCTCCGTGCAGTGACGAAGCGAGAAAACCATTATTGAGCAATCGTCAGCATAAGAGACAATCGAGACTACCTCTGGTGGTTAGCTCCCTCAACCCTCCGAAATGTAAAAGTTGAACAGTAGTGGGAAAGGACACCACTCTGTTGAACTTCCTGTTTTATTCTCCAAGGTTTGCTCGATTTGTCTCTAAAGATCACTGACGAGTTTCGACCACTCAGGTAATTCGCCGCCACCGTTTGTCTTCTAGTACCGTTACTTGAATAGTTCTCTCACAGGGGGGGTTTCGGTTAAGGCCACGAGTTATCTGGCTGTTTATGGCGTCAAGTGCTGTTGTTGTGCTGTGCACTTTACGGAACCAATGTTGATTTTTCGCTGGTGTTCAGTAATTTGTGTAGTGCGGGAGTAGAAGGGTCTCTAGTGTCTTCGCAACCGGGGAAAGGAGACCTATCGGGCGATAAGACTATCTTTTGTTGGACGGCTTCCCCGGTTTAAGCAGTGGAACCACTCTCCCCGTTTTCCAAATGTCTGGTACGATGAGAGTGGCCATAGACAGGTTGAGCACCTTGGTTAGATAGTCCACTCCCGCAGCAGCATGCAAATTCCGTCGGGTTCAATTGCTTTGGAGACTTTCGCCTTCCCGATGGCTATCCTTTCCTCGTCGCTGCGGAAAAGTAGAGGCGCACTTGGTGTTGGCAAGTTTGTGCAGCCTTCTGGTCACTCTATGTTTGGCTTTGTCCGCCGAGGATGCAGTACGAACTGTCGGCTAAAATAGCTCGCGCATCGCTCGGGGTCGGACGAAGTGTGGTCGCCAAAAGATATTTCAACTCTGTCGTCATGCTTCGTCGGATTGGACAATGACCTTACGGTTGACCAAAGCTTGCTCACATTTACGGGATCGGCCTGGCGAAGGGATTATCCTTTTTGTTATCAAGTTTTTCGTTACAGTTTTGAATTTGGAATGAATTGGTTTTAAATTTTGTTCACTCTACAAAGACTCACACTTGTTCACTCTATAGAGTACTCAATAGAAAAATGTTCATGTTCACTCTTTCGAGGTGTTCGTAGCATCGGGTGTTCACTCCAGCCAGATACCACTGTACCTTGTTTTTTGTATCATGCATTTTAATAAAATTATATTTAGTTCTATTTTTTAGCTATTTCAATAAAAATTAAATTTGTTTATTAAGGAACTTTTTATTTTACTAATTGTTTAGGGGGATCGAGCGTTTTCATTTCCCAAGACGAGAACGGCTGAACCGATTTGAATAAATTTGTTTATATCAAATTAAAGAGGTTTAAGAAGGATAACTGTTGGAAATATTTTTGATGAGGGTTGCCACCTATTTGAAAATTTTAACTCAGCTAAATTGATAAAATAAATGAAATATTGGCACGTGGATATCAAACTAAAGAGTTTAAAGAAGGCTTATGGCCGAAAATATGTTTGAGGAGGGTTGTCACCTCTTTGAAAATTTAACTCAATTTAATTGTTCTAGATATCAAATTAAAGAGTTTTATAAAAGGGGACTTTTGGACATATTTTTGAGGAGGGTTACTACCTATTTGGAAATTTTAGCTCAGTTAAATTGATTAAACAAATAAAATATTGCAATGCGGGTACCAAACTAAAGAATTTGTAAAATTCCTGCAGTCGAAAATTTGTTTGAGGAGGGTCGCCACCTGTTAGAAAATTTAACTCAATTAAATTGGTATAAGAAATAAAATGTTACAATATGGGTACCAAACTAAAGGCATTCGAGAAATCTTGATTTAAAAATATTTTCAATAGGATTATGCCCTATCTAAAAGTAAAGACTGCAAATATTGGAACTAAATGAAATATTACATAATTGGTTCCAAACGAAAAGTGTTAGGAAAATCTTACGAGAGCTTTTTTTATGTTTCCACTAATTCAATAGCCTAACAGTTTAAATGAAGAAAGAGTTTACAAAATCTTATCAAACGAAGTGA